GCCGGTGGCGGAGTTGTTAAACACTTGATTCATCATAGCGTAGTTAGTCTTGCATACACGTATTGAGTGATATTTGTGCGACAAAACAAAATTTACAACAAATCAGTAAGTAGTTTTGTGTTTTCATGGTTTTATTTTATCTAAACGTACTAAAATAAAAATATTTTAACTACAATATTTAAATATTATATGATAAAGATGACTTGTTTTCATAACCTTATCAAAAGGTTATGAAACTCTAAGTAAAATCTAGTTTTGTAAAATCTTCAATGTTTTTAGTGATTTGTAATAAATCTATAACTTTTCATGAAATAAAATGCATGAATAATTTTTTTCCTGTTTTATATTGTCGTGTTAATAATAGCGTTTAAGTACTGGGACAAGATAGTTTAAGTATTGGGACAAGTTAGAAAACCTGTTTAAGCACTGGGCCATAGCAGGTATGTTAGAATTCGATTAATTTACTTTGTTTATCTTTATAAACCAGTTCTTTAAAGCTTTATTAAGTAAAATTATAGTCTGGTTTTTTAAATAAATACTAATACTTACCAACAAAAGTTAAATTATACGAGTATGATTTGTATAAGTTAAACAGCTCTCTTAAACGTTTAAGTATTGGGACATTTACCTTACCAAGGACGGGACCTAGCGATTTTAACGAGGAAGTGAGAGTGGGTTGTACGGAGAGAAGGATAACAAAGAATAATTCTTTAGTTTGATTTCACACATTATAAAGTAGTTATATTTATTTAAAAAAAAGACAAATCGAAATCTTAGCAAATTACTAACATACAGGTGTGTTGAAACTAATACAATGACGGAGCGCATAATCGTTTCGTACAAAGTAATCTATAAGCTAGGGTGCAAGTGTGAGAGGGAGGGGGAATACGAGTTGTTTAGTGCAGCCAGCCTCTTTAACCCATGTTTACGCAACTTAGATCATCTTAAAAATGTATTTCCTTATGTCAGTTGACAAATTCGGTTTTGTTTCATTTCTTAGGTTTTAATAGATTTAATGATAGAAATAAATTTGAATATGTCATGGTTCTACGACTGATATTCGGAGATAAGCGGACTTGTTCGTTTCCGTAATTTAGGAAAGAAGTCAGAGGTTATCCAGAGCGATTCAAAACCGCGGACGCCTGTCAGCAGTCATCCGGAGCGATTCAAAAACCGCGGATGCCTGTCAAAAGTCGTCCGGAGCGATTCAAGAACCGCGGATGCCTGACAGAAGTCGTCCGGAGCGATTCAAAACCGCGGACGCCTGTCAGCAGTCATCCGGAGCGATTCAGGATCGCAGATATCTTCTCTGATCAAGGAAGGGGAGGGGGAGAGGCTATCTTAAACAGTTGAGTANCGCGGCTGCTGTGTCTAATTCGTGCGAGACTTTATCGTTTTTCTCTCTTTTCCTCAATCTCTATTTCTAGTTTGTGGGATCTCAGTGAACAATTGGTTTCTTAAAAACACTTACTACATAGTTGAGTGGCGGCGGTGTCGGGTTGGCTGCAGATACTCGGGAGTGGGGCGTTGAATACCAGTGCGGCTTCGGTGTCCCGGTTTTGGCACTCACAGCACCGAATTTTTCAAACTCTTTGTGCCACGACACTTCCGACCTTTTAGATTAGCGGCTCTCAACTGACTTCGGTTCTGAGAGTCCTGGCTTATATACAATTTTGAGTAAGCGACGACTCTCCCAATCAGAAAACTCAGTCGAGCTTTGCTAGTTTCTATTTGTTAGTTAATGGTCGGGTAAACTTCGTGAGATCGCCAATCGGTGAAGATTTCTTGCCTTGGTTGGCTGGTCCGATTTTTCG